GGTCACCAAGTTCACACATAATCCAGAATTTCTATCTTCACTTTATAGTCACTCCCATCACGAAGCCTGAAGTCTTCCTCCTCCTCCTCATCACCCTCATCACCCTCATCTCTCTGCAGGCTCATCTGCCAGCTGCTCTTTGACATCCTCACTGCTTGTTGTATTTGCCAAGAAGACAGGGAAATGGACAGGACATAAACAACAGGCTTTGAAATCTGTCTCTAACAGAACACTCAGCTGCCAGTGCAATACCTTTGCACATTCAATCATAGAGCTGGCAGAACATCTGCCATAAGGGGGTAAGGCTCCTTATGGAAAATATAGATGGATTCCTAAGAGAAGGAAAAAAGGAAAGGATCCATATGCATTTTATGGTGTAACTGGAGCTTTCCCATGAACCTGCAAAAATGAAGTTTGTGCTCCCGATTTCAGAAGAGAAGGAACTCAGCCAGGTGAGCAATGGGTTGGTATGACTTTGGCCCAAACTCCCTTATCACATACTGGTATCATAAAAGACTCTCGTGACACCACTGAGGAAAGAACATTTAAATTTAAAAAACCCTTCCAAGCTGCATTCAGTGGCACACTGACAGAGGTGCTCCACCCTGGCTGGCAGAAAATCCTCAGGCACCTGGTCCTGATCTGTATGAAATGTATTTGAGCACTGAAGGCTTCACCCTCTGCATTTGTCCTCCTGTAGCTACTGCATCTACTCAGTGGTATAGGGGCAAAGCAAGAGGGAAATGCAGGTTCCAGTTCAATCTAGAAATTCCTTTTCCTTTAAAAAGTGCTGATGAAGGCCAACAGTGAGAAAATGAAAGATGTTTCTTGTGGGAGATCTCACAGATTGTTGTTCTGGAAAAGCCAACTGGGGCCAGGTGGTCACAGGCCAGAGGAACACATGGCATCGACTGCTGCAAACCCTGCCCTTGGTTCCAGCTCACTGGAAGCAGCAGGAGGTCAGCTCCAGCCTGGGAGCTCCCTCACCCTGGCCCTGGCCCCCTCCAGGGTTGGGCTCCTCACCCTCCAGCCCCTCTGCATGGAGGATCTCCACATGCACAGCAGAATCTCCACATGCACACACAACCTCTGTTCTCCTCCCTGTGTCTGCAGCATGGCCCCAGTGTCTCGCACCAGCCCAGGGTTCTCCACACACATGAGCCCAGCAGCTCCAGCACAGCCACTGACCCCACTGTGGGGTACCAGGGCCAGGCTCTGCCTTGGTGTGTGAATGAGAGCATGTGGAGGATGAGGCTTGTGGGCAGTTGTGCTCCTTGCCCTGCCCTGCATGGAGCTGGAGTTCCCCAGCCTGGTCCAGCCCAGTGTATGCCCAAAAACCCATGTAGAATCACTTCCCATGTGGGTTTATTTTGCCCCAGTCAGTTCCTGAGTGATGATCAGCAACAGGTCAGGATTGGTTTGCATTCACCTGTTGCACTTGCAACTGTCTAAAAGCTGGTTGGTATGAGCAGGGACATTGATGATAACATGGGGATACCCAGAGGACAGGTCAGGATTGGTGCTGTCCTGCCTGGGACCACATGGGCAATGAGAGAAAACAACCCCAGAGCCAGCAGGTTCAGAGGGGAGAGACTGGGCCCTGGCTGTCAACAGCTTCCCTGGACATTGGGGTGTCACAGGTCAGGGGACACACACTGCCCATAGATGTCCCTTCCTGCCTGACCTTAAGGTTAGTGACAAAATCCTGTCATGGCAAACACAAGGAGAACCAGAATCACTCAGTTGCAAGCAAGCCTTTAATTGATCTTTAAAAGGTGTTTTTTCTTAAGTTCAGAACAGCAACCCCGACTGGGTGATGTTGGCAACCTGGGGCAGGCTCCGATAGACCGAGTTCCAGAAGGTTACAAACCGGGATCTCAGGTCCTGCTTCACGGAGTTCTTGT